AGGACCCACGGAGCTTTCCTTCTGGAATAATTCCCCAAACATTGTCCTGCCTCTTCCTCTGTCTGAGGAAGAGGCAGGAGACACCTATTACACCTATTACACTTTCCCCTGCCCCTTCCCCAGTTGGTATTAAACCCAGTATTCCATAATCACTCCATCTAAGCTGAGCAGACGGGATGTGCGCCAATTAGTGGTTTCCATGGCAACAGTAGTAGAACTTCCCTCCCGTTTTGAAGATGTTAAGACACTGCATTGTCATCCCTTCTTCCACGCCTCCACCTGTTCCCACGTGATGCTGTGGGGTGTCACTGTTCAGGGGAGATGCGGCTTCACTCTGAGATAAACATCCTCAAAACTTACTGAATGTGTGTTGTCTCTGTTCCCCCCCAGCGGTGGGTGGTCAGCAGACAGATGCGATTCGAGGGAGGCTTCCAGGGCCGCTGTAATAAACTGGTGGACGGCTGCTACTCTTTCTGGCAGGCTGGACTCCTGGCTCTACTCCACAGAGCCTTATTCAAAGAAGGTACCGGATCTTTGGTCATGGCACTGCCCTGACATTAGGCCTAAATAAGGCTTAAAGGCTTAAATAAGCCTTGCATGTAAAAACATAAGGATCCACTACAGATATTGTAACTTTACATCAGGGTGAGAAGCAGCGCGATTGCAATAACAAAAAATCTGTTGATTACTGTATGTGCCTCATGAGTCCCTCAAAGTAATTAAAAAGGAAGTTGAACTAAATGTTTGCAATGGAAACTTTATAATCCAATTTTCTTGTGCATTTGTAACAACTTTAAACTTTGTATATAGGAACCTATAAATTCCTGCTTCATTGTTTATTTCTATATATTTAGAAACTAACAGAAAATGATGAGCCCTCAGTGTATTAATTACATTTCTGTTTATGTTGGTGTGATGACTTTGGTGTGATGACTTTCTCGTGTGTTAGCGGTGTGTTTGTGCAGGAGAGACGGCGCTGAGCCGGCAGCGGTGGATGTTTGAGCAGCAGGCTTTGCAGGAGTACATCCTCCTGTGCTGTCAGAACCCAGCAGGGGGCCTTGTGGATAAGCCTGGCAAGTCAGTACCGCATCACCTGGACACACACACACACACACCACCTCTACACAGATAAATGTGATTCACTTGGTTGTACTCATGCGTATCATTTATACTCCACTGTTTCGTGTGTATGTGGACCCAGATCCAGAGATTTTTACCACACGTGTTACTGCCTGAGCGGCCTCTCCATAGCACAGCACTTTGGAAATGTGGACCTCCACCGTGAGATGATCCTCGGCAAGGAGGAGAACAGATTGGTGAGGCTGCAGCAGGAGAGGGGATTCATTCAGAAATGATCCTTTGCTATTTAGAAATGGATTCACTTTAGTAGAAGAATTACTAATCATATAAAAGTCGATAGTGTCAGAATAACTTTTATATATGAAGCACATTCCCTGTTTTTCGCTACAAGTTTGGTGTCAGTACAACCACCCACGTATCCATTACTTTCAGCTGTCTATTTTGACTTTAGGCACTGTGGCGAGTTGGACATTGGGCTGTGATATGAAAAACAGACCAAAGACAGAAGCAAATAGATAATTTAAAAAAAAGACGGTGTAACAAATGTCCTGTTTGTTCCACCCCGCAGGCTCCAACCCACCCAGTTTACAACATTTGTCCAGAGAAGGTGGCTCAGGCCCTCCAGCACTTTCACCGGCTGGCTGTCCCCGAGGGCAACCGGCCGGCCGGGAACCCTGCTGGTGACAG